CCCCGGGCCCGGCTCCTGTGGCGGGGCAGCCCCTCCCCGGCGTTAACGCGAGGAGGGGCCGGTACCGCTGTTATCAGGGCCCCGGTCCCGTGGTGGAGGGAGTTCACCCGCGGGGCCGGGGAAGCTTTGCTGAAATGGCGGTATAGCTGCGGGCGCTGACGCGGAGGAAGGCTGCGATGAGGCTGTGGGCGTTGGTGGGATGGATGTCCGTGCTGCTGAAAGCCCCGGCGAGCTCGGAGCCTGGTTCGGTACTGCGTGCCTGTTTCCGTGATGAGCTTGGTGCGCCCTTGTTTGGCGTGCTGGCACCTGCTAAGCCCGCCGCCCCTTCTGACCACACCGTTTTGGGATGCATGAGCGACTTCATAAAGTATCTGTCTGTCTCTTAAGTGTGTGTAGTGTGTTTCGTCCCAAAGCTGAAAAGGTGACTTTAAGTGAACTCTGAAAGAGAGCACAGGTTCACAGACACTCACCTACAGCATATCTGCTGGGCTAAGCTGAGAGCTCCCACCCACAGGGCAGGAGAGGCTGGAGCAGTGGTCTGCCCGTTTCGCTCTCTGACTCTGCCTGTGCGGAACCTTGTCCAGAAAGGGTGCGTGAGAGGTTATGCACAGACAGAGGGTCTCAGCTGCACTGAACTGTCCATATAGACAGCTTTAAGTAGCAATCTAAATAATTTCTTCTTAACTTGCGTTCAATATAAGAGCAAAAGCAGCCTCGCTCGCTTTCCTGCTCACTCTTTTTGTAGCTGTGTCTGCTGGCTTTGCTTCATTTGGGTTTTTAAGGTGCAGTTTTAATTTTTTTTTTTAGTGGTGGGTTACTTTCTGAATGGTTTTGTTTTTATTTAACGCATATCTAACTTATAAATGCTTTGTTCGTAAGAACAGGTGTCATGGTGGTTCCTGGTTTTGAAGGTGTGTAGGACACTGGGGATGAAATGGAAGGGGCGAGGATTATTTTATGGTAGTAACTCAAACCCAGCTTTATGTTGCTTCTGTCCTTTAGAGTCTGTGTCTTTGCTATCTGTGAAACTGCAGCCTGAGCTGTGCGTGAAAGGGGAGAAGCCTGAGTCTGCCTGTTCCTGCATCTCCATCTTGCTTGCTGCACAGTCCTTCTTTACTCTAGGGCTGTATTTGTTTGGTTAGCTTTCTGCTATTTGAGTGAGTTAAGCTGGCTCATGAAGTGGCCAGCATGTGCTAGTGGAAGTTAAGCAGTGGACATGTGTGGGCAGGAGCAGAGGAACAGTGACTGGAGGTTCTTTTGAGAGTGTTGAGCTGTTAATTACAGAATAGAATATCTCAGCTGGGAGGGACCTACACCGATCACCTAGTCCAGCTGCCTGACCACTTCAGGGCTGACCAAAAGCTAAGGCGTGTTACTGAGGGCATTGGCCAGGGGCCTCTGAAACACTGACAGGCTTGGGGCATCGACCGCCTCTCTAGGGAGCCTGTTCCACTGTTTGACCCCCCTCCCGGTAAAGAATCTAAACCTTTCCTGGAGCAGCTTTGAACCATTCCAATCCGTCCTGTCACTTGATCCCAGGGAGAAGAGGTCAGCACCTCCCCCTCCACGTCCCCTCCTCGGGAAGCTGCAGAGAGCGATGAGGTCGCCCCTCAGCCTCCTTGGCTCCAAACCAGAGAAGCCCAGACTCCTCAGCCGCTCCTCCCAGGACCTGCCTCCCAGCCCTTTCACCAGCTTTGCTGCCCTCCTCTGGAGGCGTTCAAGGACCTTCACGTCCTTCTGAAATGGTGGGGCCCAGAACTGCACACGGTGCTCAAGGGGAGGCCGCACCAGCGCTGAGTACAGCGGGACAACCAGCTCTTTAGGCCGGCTGGCCGTGCCGTGGGTGATGCACCCCAGGATGCGGTTTGCCCTCTGGGCTGCTAGTAAAAAAGTGTAACTGCTTTTTCAAAAGCAGCTCACATCACCCTGCTTTGTTTCTGAGATACTGTGTTCCTGCTGTTACCACAAAACAGCTAGTGCCTAGTGGCAAACAGGGTAGCCTGCAGTAGTTTACCCACAAGCGTGTTTCAGTGTGGTGAACTGACTATTCTGTTCTGTTCATACATATTTTTATTGCTTGAAATGTTTATTCATGCTCCGAGTGAAGAAAAGTAAGTATTCTTTCTGGAGAAGGGTGACAATTACACTGTATAGTTGCACTGGTGGAGTTCACAGTCCTGAGGGATATGGGTCAGGTGAAGAGTAAAGTCCAGACGCTGAATTGTAGGAAAGCAAACTTCCAGCTGTTCAAGAAGTTAGTCGGTAGGACCCCCGGGAAACTGCCCTCAGGGACAAGGGCACAGAGCAGAGCTGGCAGATCTTTAAGGACACTTTCCATGAAGCGCCAATCCCCAGATGTAAGAATCAGGAGAGGAAGGCAAAAGACTGGCATGGCTGAGTCTAGACCGGCTGAGTCAAGACCTGCTGGTCAAACAGAAGGGCAAGAAGGAAATGCACAGGCAGGGAAAGCAGGGATGGGTACCCTGGGAAGAGTACAGGGACACTGCCTGGGTGTGTAGGGATGTGGTCAGGAAGGCAAAGGCACAGCTGGAGCTGAGCTTGGCAAGGGACACAAAGAATAATACGATGGGCTTCTGCAGGTGTGTCAGCCAGAAAAGGAAGGTTAAAGGAAGCGTATGCCCCCAATAAGCAACACTGGCAATCTGGTAACAACGGACAAGGAGAAGGCTGAGGTACTCAATAATATTTTTGCCTTGGACTTCACTGGCAATCTCCCCTCCCACACCTCTCAAGTGCACGGACCTCAAGGCAGGGACTGGGGGAGCAAAGTCCCTCTCACTGTAAGAGATGATCCGGTTCATGACCACCTGAGGAACTTGAAGATACGGCAGTCTATGGGACCTGATGAGGTGCATCCCAGAGTCCCAAGGGAAGACTGATCACATTGCCAAACGACTGTCCACGATGTTTGCAAAGTCCTGGCAGTCAGGTGAAGTCCCTGGAGACTGGAAGAAGGGAAATACTGCACCAATTTTTCAGAAGGGTAGAAAGGAGGAGCCTTAGAACTATCAACCTGCCAACCTCCCCTCTGTGCCTGGGAAGATCATGGAACAGATCCTCCTAGAAGCTCTGCTATGGCACATGGAGGACAGGGAGGTGATTTGAGAGAGCCAGGATGGTTTCACCAAGGGCAAGTCCTGCCTGACCAACCTAGTGGCCGTCTTTGATGCAGTGACTACCCCAGTGGACAAGGGAAGAGCTATGGATGTCATCTCTCTGGACTGCTGGAAGGCCTTTGACATGGTCCCCCACGACATCCTTCTCTGAATTGGAGAGAGACGGATTTGATGGGTGGACTCTTTGATGGGTGAGGAATTAGCTGGATGGTCACATCCAGAGAGTGGTCGTCAATGGCTCGGTGTCTGGATGGGGAGCGCTGAACAAGTGGTGTCCCTCAGGGGTTCATACTGGGACCAGTGCTGTTTCATATCTTCATCAATGACATAGTCAGTGGGATCGAGTGCACCCTCAGCAAGTTTGCAGAGGACACCAAGGAGGTTGATCCGCCTGAGGGATGGGATGCCATCCAGAGGGACCTGCACAAGCTGGAAAGTGGTTGCGTGTGAACCTCATGAGGGTCAACAAGGCCGAGTGCTTTAACATTTGTAGCTTGTTTTCAAACTGCAAAAGGCCAGTGTTCAGGTCTTCAGGCTTATGCTGTGCTACTTTGTTTCAACTGTGGCCTGATTTTGTTTTACAAGTTTTGAGGATGAAGACCCATTTTTCTTCAGTTGCTACTGTTACCTGTAGAAGTGACTTTGTATTGTGCTGTTCTCTGAAAGCGAAAGTGCTGAATTTAAGGAAATAAGTGTAAACAGTAAAATAATTGCAGAAACTCCCCTCTCTTCATCTCCTTTCTTTTCTCTAACAGGCAGAAATTTTTCAGGAATTTGCTGTTCAGGAGGAATCAGTGACGTTCCGGATCAATTTGTCTGTTCTTCTTGACTGCTTGACCATTTTTGGTACCAGTTCTTTGCCAGGTATGATGCGTGTTTACCTTGACAGTGTATGTGTATCACCTGTACTCTTATAGTGAAACCAGTCTTGGCAAGACTTCTGACTTCTTCACCTTCAGTTCCTCTGAGCATGGCAGCTACTGCTGTTAAGCAGGATCCATCCTGTTTGCTTGAGCTAATACAGATGTGTGCTGTGGTAACAGTTGGTGGAGAGAGGGAAGGAGCTGATGGATGTCAGCCTAGCCAGTGTGTCAGGGACCGCTGCAGCAGGAAAGGCTAAAGAGGCTGTTTCAGTTTGGAAGGTGGAATAAAGGTGTTATGTCTGTGTGATGCTGTTGGGGTAACTGAGAAACAGAGGAGTCTTCCTGTGAAGATAATGTTTCCTGCGTCTGTGTAAGGCACAAAAGAACCAATTGTTTTGGGAGAGAACCCTTTTGTGGCACAAGGTCCCATAAACAGCCCCAGCTTGTGCCCTTTGATTTGGGGCTGACGATCTCAGATAGTTTCTGTAATCTTGATAAGAAAACGTGTCAAGTAATTTGTTCAGCCATCTCTGGCAAGTTGTGTGGTGTTTAGGCTGGAGTTCTGACTCTGAGGCCAGTGCTGTACCCTAGGACTGACGCATGCCGTGGCTGCCTTTCCTGTCCTGTCGATCTGTTTTCAGTCCAGGGCCCAGATCACACAAACACTAATTTGTTACCAAGTGCCTTTCGCTTAGAGGGAAAGCCTGGGCTGGCAGAATGGTTCCTCTGCAGCCAGTTCAGGGTGGTCGGTATGGGTGTAGAGAGCGCCAAGGTTCCCTCTGCTAGGGACGGTCCTTCACACTGTCACGTGCTTTTAAGTGGCCAGCAGGGCTGGCTGCATGTACCCTCAGCATCAGGCTAAAAGACTACTGCTTTGGCAAGCTGGGGCAGCATCTTACCAGAGCTGTCACTTCGGGCTGAAAAAGCATGAAAGCTGTCAGTACATCTTAAGGCCACAGAGCATCTACGTTGGGCTTACACGGGACTCAGGCTGACCAATTGCTGTGAACTGTAACAGAAGTCACCACACTGAAAGAGACAGTATAAGATGTAGCTTGGAATTCTTCTTGCTAACAAACCATTTTTATCCAGTCAACAATAAATGTGATCTCTTTTCCAATATTTCCGTGGCTTGTGCAACGTGGAACATCCAACTACCTCAGAAACATTAACATGTGTGAATTAGGAAATGTTCTGGTGCAGTTTTACTGGGCTTGAAGAAGTCTGCAGGGGTTCCAGGTAGCGCCATCAGTTCACTGTGCTGTTGCTCCCAATGCAATAGCTGTCCCTTCCCTTCTTCTCGCTGCAGCTGCATCTGTTTTGTATTATCTCCAGCTTTTAGATGAGATGCCGAGGAATGACACATTTTAAAGGTCACATAAGAAACCTGTGGCTGGACTGGGTAGCACTTCAGGTGCTGTAAGTGCACTTTAGATCTTGCTTGTCAAATGTGCGAATTACAAAAATCAAGTAGAATGTACTATTGGTCCTGTTTGTAATCTTTTCAGTGACAGAGGTGCATGGGAAGCTGCCTTCACAATTATGTATACAAATATTGAATTACATGAACCCATTTGTTTAAACAAAAAAGTCAGGTCTTAGCAGATTTTGTTTCTTGTAAATTAATTTTTTACCTATTTTTATTTTCCTTGATTCTTTTTTCCCAAAAAATATTTTCACGAGCAGAAATAACTACAATTTAGCGTGACTGTGTGTGTAGTACAGGATGCACTGTGTACTCATGTGGAGCAGAGTGATAGTATGAGGGGTTTTTGGCAGTTCTACCATTGCAGCTGTGTGTTGAACTCCACATTCCTCTGCTGTTTCTGTTGTGACTCTGACCTAAAGACCTAAAACAACTGTACTAAACAGCACTCTGCTTTTGGGAAGCCAGACGTTCAGATTGCGATTACCTAGCAAAAGGAGGATGTGACCGTCACGCCAGCTAAGCTGCAGTAACTTCAGTTCGGGCTGCACAAGTAACGGGAGTAGTGGAGAAAGGTGGTGTGAGCCAGAGAGAGCCTCGGGACCGTGGAGGATTTTCCAGTTCCACTCAGCTGTTTGTAGCTTGTCCAGCTCTGTTGTCCCAGATAGTGCTGCCTGCTTGGTACGTGACACACGCGGGATTTGAACTGGTGTCTGCACAAGGACCGTTCCGTCTTGCTGCGTGACCATTAGCACTCTGCCGGGAGTCCAGGAGGCTGCACCGAGCGTGCTGCATGAGTGTGTTGGAGGCTGGACCAAACGTGACAGGTGGAATCGATCTGTGCCCTCTGCGCCAGTAACACAGTGAATTTTCTAAAGGGATCTGATGTGCTTGCTGGCTCTCTGAGGAATGTGTGTTTCATTCTCTTTTTTCAGGAACATCAACGGCCCTTAGGATGTGCTATCGTGGTTATGGTTATCCCTTGATGCTGTTCTTGGAAGAAGGAGGAGTGGTGACAGTGTGCAAAATTAACACTCAGGAACCTGATGAGTTGTTAGACTTTGATTTTTGCAGTACAAATGTTGTTAATAAAATCATCCTGCAGTCAGAGGGGCTACGAGAAGCATTTGCCGAACTGGATATGACCAGTGAAGTTCTGCAGATTACCATGTCTCCAGATAAACCCTACTTCAGGTATGGGAAACTATGCTTTCGACTCAAATGTTCATGCTTGGCCTCAGTTGGTAAGGACTGGAGGTTTTCAGGGTGAAGGGGGGGAGCTGTTTTAGAATATTGCTTATTTCAAGAAGCATCGTAATAACTACAGCAGATCGTATATGTAATCTAATTAGCATAGTGATTAATATATTGACAGCCTGGTAAATGTGACACTGATGCGGACAGTTTAGCATTTTTAATTAAATAAAGCAAAACAAATTGTAGTATTTTGTGAAACAGCCACTGAGATATGCAAGATGACTGATTCCGACGAGTTTTTAGAGAGCTGTGCGCAGGCATTTTGAGATGGTGCCTTTTGTCTTCCAGGTTATCCACTTTTGGAAATGCGGGGAGTGCACATCTGGACTACCCCAGGGACTCTGATTTGATGGAAGCATTCCACTGTAACCAGACCCAGACAAACAGGTTGGGAAGTCCATGACAGGTCATGCATTCTCACTGGGAAGTTTAAAAAACTGGTTTTGCATTACTGTAACATTTATTTCACTAGTACAGGGGGGAAAAAGTACTTCCCACCTGATATTTTGTGCCTGTGATCAAAAGCTAAGCAATAACAATGTTTGTCCGATGTCGTTATCAGGAAAAGATCAAATTAGCACATTGCAAATTGTTTTTTTTATTCTGTGGCTTTAATTGGGAGTAAGGTTTCAGCTCCTCCCTACACAATGTATTTTTTTCAGTTGACTTCTTTTTTTCCCTCCCTGCAGGTACAAGATCTCTTTGCTTAAACCATCCACAAAGGCGCTGGCTTTATCTTCTAAAGTGTCCATTCGAACAGATGCTCAAGGATTCCTTTCACTGCAGTATATGGTTAGGAATGAAGATGGACAGATCTGTTTTGTGGAATACTATTGTTGCCCTGATGAGGATATTACCGAAGCAGAGCTGTAGGAGTATGTTTTGGTGTCTGTATTGTATTTATGGATATATAAACTACTATATTTTTTTATAAAGCTGAATGAAAGCTGTACAGATTGATAGACTTGATATTGTCATTCTTTTAAAATCTGGAATTAGAAATATGAAGACTTCCTTTTTATTCCCTTGCAAACATTTCTTAGCCTTGAAAAAACTTCTTTTTAGCCTTCAAAAAACTAAAGCTGAGAAGGCAAAAAGGGGAGTTGATCTCCTGTAGCCACTGATTCCAGCACAGATGTTAAAGTGGCGTTTGTGTAATATGTTGCTGTTTGTTACAGTGTTGTCCAAGAATTTTTGTTTGTGTTTTGGTTTTGGCTTGCTCTAAGCAATAACAGAAGGGAAGATCTGAATGCTAGCTGTGTCTTAGGCAGTTAACATTCAATGACTTAAAAATAAAACCAAATATGTCTTGAAAGAGGATGACATTTTCAAACTGATTTCTTCATAGCAGCAGGTGGTTTCTTTCTGGCAGATGCTGACGTGTTTTGCTGCTGAAGCTACTAGGCTCCTCCTCATCTTGATTAACTCTTAATATAACTCAATTCCTTAGAATTTTGTCTGATACCTGTTTACCCTTTCTCCTGCAGTACTGGTGTTGAATTGGTAAATTAAGGCAGAATTTACTTACACATAACTGTTCTGGCAACAGTATTGTTTTGTATCTGGTAATTTATTACACATCCACAAGGATGCTGCTGCCGAAGTGTTTCTGCACGTACATGTCCCTGCTGCTCTCTACTAACGCTGGTAAGAATCAGAAGAAGAAAGTTTCATATTCGAAATTATTTGTGAAACCCATTTACCTTCTCAATAGCCTTTTTCAGCAACAGGAGGGACACCTAAACTGAGGTAAAGGAGCATCTGCCTGTGCCCCATGGAGTCGTGTATTCGTATCACTGCAAAAGCTGGGTGTAACCTCTTACGCACTGAAAAGGGAGCGCAGCTTCTAGAGAGTTTTTGGCAGCGGCCAGCTTTGCGGCCAAAGGCTGAGGTGGGCTGCGCTTAGGTCAGAAGTTGTGCTTCTTTCAGACCTCTCCGTTAGAAACAACCGGCTCGAAATGGGAGGTCCACCGAACCAGCGGGGCATTGAACCAGCGGCAGAGGCTGCGGATCCCCCTGCGAGAGGCTGAAGGCTTCCTGCCTGGCTGCCATGGGATGTGATCCAGGAGCCAGCGATCTGCGGGTGGTTCCCGCAGCTTCAGCCTGTAGTTGAGTTTTGATGTTCTTCAGAAGTTGAGGTCCTGCTTTGCACATGTGGAAAGCAGTAGGTTCACGTGCTACCAAGTTGATTGCTCCACAATTCAACAGAATCCAAGTCCTTTGGGTATATTTTAAGCTTCAGATGCTATTATTGGCCATTTTTCACCTCTTGTTTATGTCAGCAAGAGTGTACTTTCAGAGTATACAGTGTCAACATTTAGTTTTTGTTGTCTTCCATGTGGATCATCCATCTATTGCAATAAATTTTACATTTGAAAAACGATGACAAATCTTTGAACTACAGGACAGATTAAGATACCTAATAATATTCTAAATTACTCTTATTTACTGTCTTTTCTTCTTCTTCCCCAAAGTTAAAGTATTCAGTATAGGTCAATTTCCTCTTGGCTTACCGTCTCAGTTTTTTTCATGAAAAAAATTATTATGGTCACATTGGGAATTATTACTATTATCCCAGACTCTACTGAGTGTTAAGAATGATTTACATAATCTCCGGGTGACAGGATAAAAATGAAACAGAACATGTCACTTTCTTAATAATGTGATCTGTTTTAGAATATCAGAGTTCTTTGTATTGTGTTCAAGGACATTACTGTGGCTAACATTTTTACTTGTATATAATTGCCTACAGATGTACCATATTACTTCTTAAAATAGTACTTTTAGCAATTTTTTCTACAATCTATGAACAGTGATCATGGAAATAACATCCTAAGAAGTCAGAACACCACAAAATACCAGAAAGTAACTGTTGCATTTCATAAATAACAGCTGTTACTGACATGTGTGATTCCGTAGTGTCTGTACCCCAACTGGCCTAAGTCGGGGCCTAGACTCACAAAGGTGAGGAGGTGTTTGTGTGTCTTGTGCCTTTGTGGGTGTGGCTCTAGGTGGGCAAAACCACAGGAAGTCTGGGCTTACAGACTCCTTGGAGTGAGGCAAGGAGTGGATTTAGGGTCCACCTGTGATGGATTCTGTTACATCTCTGCCTTCAGAGAGGGTGAAGAGGAGAATGACTGGAAGGTCACTGCTTCCGTTTGACGATGCGAATTCTGCAAACCTCCACTGTTGGATTAGGTTTCATTTCCTGCCACACTTGGCATGAGATCCAGAATTTGGGTGACAGTACCTTTGATACGCTTCATATCTTCTACTTGACAAGTCTTTTCCCCTTGCAGACAACGGGAAATCTGCAGCAGAAGAAACATTTAGGTCATGTTTTTTTCCTTAAGTGGTATCACAGAACGGACTTGTCATGACTCAGACTTTGCCCACTTGCTTTCCTATAAAGTGGTATGTGTAAGTACTCAGAATTACTAGTGGTGTCAACTAGGAACAGCTTCTGGAGGTAGGAGCAGGAACCAGCGTTTTCCACCCAGGTTCAACATAGCTGTAGCAGGTGCTGCCTGGCTGCTCTGATTTGCTGCATTTGGGGCTCTGGGCAACCCAGATCAGAGGCCACAAAAATGACAGTGCCTTTTCCTCTGATAATTTTGATTTGTGCATTTCAGCGTAAGAACTGACCTCAAGTCTTCAAGAAGGCACCTCTTTTATTCTACCTGAAAACACTAGTGATGCCAGTGCTAATGTTGATAACCTCCCAAAACATTGAGAAGTTCTTGTGTCTCTCTGGGTTTCACATGTTGAGGCCCATCCACAACCGTTTGGATCTTTAAAGGCTGTTGAGAACAAAATTCCCCAAAAGGAATTGAGTTCTATACCTCTGTTTCAAAGTTAGTTATGGGAAAGAATCAGTTGTGTAATGCCTAATTACATGTGGATTTGTAAGGAAATACGTTCTTGTATTCTTGACCAGAGTGGTCTTTAGTGAGGTCTGCGGAGTAGCTGCAGTGCCTCTGACTGCTTGAAAACTAGGCAGCTGTTCAAGGAGACAGGCTCCTCTGGAGATGTCACACACAGCTCAGTGCAGTCCAGAAATCAGGAGCAAGCATTTAGGTGCAAAACTGCTCCCACAAACCCCAGCAGTGCAGGCTGAGGGCCTTGGTGCTGGCTCCTGGGCTACACCTGCCCGTGCAGATGCTGCATGAGATGCTCCTGGGCATGGAGGGTTTAGGGTGCTGCACAGCCAGGGTCCATGCTGCAGAAACCTCACCTTGCAAGGTGCAGGGCCACCAAAGAGGAGCAGGCTGATCCAGAGCCGTGCTGGGCAGCTATTTGCAAAACCTGCTGGTTGGCCTGGGCGAACACCATGGCAGGGCCTGTCCCAGGCGGGTGGGCTTGTTCTAGCAGCTGAGAGTATTCCCAGCCACTTTCATAGCCGCAGCCTGATGAATCACTAAGAACACGTTTCTTCTTCCCATAGTTTTACAAAACTCTACCTCGACACAGAGAGCTCTGTCTCTCTCAAATGCTGCCATCAGCTGGTTGGAGACGTTCACTCCGCTAATAAACTGGAAGCATAAAACAGGTCCGGAGGAGCTGGGCTAAGCCCAGGCTGTTAATTGCTTGCAGCACTGGGGAGTGAGTCCCCTGCAAGCAACCACTCTGTGGAGGTGACCAAAGCTCTTGGGAAGGCTCCCAGAGGCACACAAGGCTGTACAGAGCTGCTCGAGGGCAGCTGGTGTAGCTGAATACTCTCCTCTTCCGTGCTACAACCCAGTCCGGGCAGCAGCACACGGCTTTGATTATAGATATTTGCGAGGGAACATAGTGCCAGAGACCAACCAGCCAAAGCACCTGCAGAGGAAACTCTGCCAGCCTGCCCCTTGCCAGTCGTCAGATGGTGACGTGATTTCATCATGGGGCAGGAATCTTAGAAACACTGTGGATACCGCGCAGCCACCGTCAGGCAGCACAGGGCTTCAGGGCCATCACGCTCCCAAACCCTCTGCCCACGTGCTGTGGGGGCTCGGCAGGAGGAGCACTACTGGAGGGGGGACGCTGCTTTCCCCAAGGGCATAGGGACCCCGCTACCCCCCGCACTATGACCTTCCAGCAGGCACCCAGCTCTGCAACATCTGCACAGGCATGTTTGCACCTGGGTCTGCCACATCTGGCCAGCCGTGCTGACACCCAGCCGTGGCCCCGCCAGCTGCTGAATGCAGCGCTGCTTTTTTGAGAGCTGCACTTTGAACAGCAAGAGCCCAGAGGAGCAATTTCTGTGAACAGGGCCGTGCAGACCTTTGTGCTTTCTGTCTTCACTCCCCGCACGGCTGTCCAGCTGCAAGGGAGGCTCAGAGCGGAATGAACACCAGGTTTAGTTCTCTGTGCCTCCCCTGATGCTTTTTTTTTCTTTCTGCGGTCTGGAAAATCCAGCTTAATCCAGCTCCCCAGCCCCTTCTTTGGGGGGATGCATCCTGGTGGGCAGCAAAGTGCTTACAGAGAAGCAAACGCGCTCAAACAGGGGGCAGCAGGGGGTGGGTCGGTTGCTGCTTTAGGACAGAGGATGCAAGAAGGGTGCTGTGGGTCTGAGCCCAGCCATCAACGGGGAGTGTTTTGGCTGATCCTGACCACACTGGAGTGACATTTACTCTCCCATACGAGCACGTTGCAAGGGCTGCTTGCCTCCTGAGAGCCGCCGAGTGCAGGGTCCTGGCTGTGGCATTGCTCCTGGGCAGGGTTAGCACACCGTGAGCGTGCGGGGCCCAGCTGGGCAGCCAGGAGCAGACGGACAGCAGCCCGTCGGGACGTGGGGAGACAGCTCCAGCCCCAAGCTCCTTGTAGGGGATGATGTCACCGAGATGTGCCTGTTTCCAATCTCCAGCTGCTGGTAGGAGGCCCCATTACCAACC